AGACTTCTGAGTTCTGGTTCATTTCTGTGTGCGGGGGTCATTCTGTTACCGCTATGCGGTATCTAGTTTAGTTTCAACTTGTTTGTCTCGCCTATTAATCTTAACTACCAGCTGAGGAGACATGCAAAAAAATAAAAATAAAATACAAGCCAGGAACAAGCAGGTTCATCTGTTTCTAAAAGTGGGTTAAGGCAKGTCCATTTACTGTCAGACAAAATTCATATTTCTCCATCACAGCTTTATTGAAATTAGTGATGCTGTGTGTCAGTCACATTTCAATRGACAGCAATGCCAACGCATTCTGTCTGTATTGTGTCATGATATTTCTAAGAAAGGTTTTGATTTCTTTGAGAGTGGAAAAGCATCATTCAAACTCTGTGGTTGTCATTGGTGTAGTGATCAAAATGTGAAGTAGCTTCAGATTTTCAGAAAATACATCCTGCATTGTGTTGTTTAAAAAAACTGAAACAAAGCCATTGCACAGCTGTGTGTTCTGAAGTCAGGGATTTTATACACAGTATGAGAAAACTCTTTTTGCAGATGTGGTCTATTTAACATTAAATATGCAATACTGACTCCCCCAGATCCAAAATAGAGGTTCATTTTAGAAATAAAAAATAAACAAAATAAATATCCAAAAACCCTTTAACATAAAAAGACACACAGCTAAGTTATTGAGGAAATGGCTTGTTGCATGACAAACTCAGCTGATGCATGTAGTGCACATTGGTATAAATATCCTGGATCTGCCTCCTGACACCACCTGTAGCTCCTTGCATCACACTTGCCCGGCCAAAGGGCTGAGCGATTAATCTGTCTCTGTCCATTGTCTTCTCTGGTAAATAAACACATTCAGGTATTCCAGAAGTACTTTTGAATAATCGTGCCTCCATCAACTGCATATTAAAGCAAAAGCAAAAATAAATAAATAAAATAAAAGTCCTCTGCACTTATTTGACTACATCTATWCAACATAACACAACAAGCTTGCAATGAGTTGGGACACACATTTTCTCAGCAGCCTGTAACAAGGGCATAACCTAGGTCTGCCATTGTGAGGGTTATTTTCTCTGCTGATTTATT